ACTTTCTCTGTCACCTTAAATTTTGCCACAAACCTGCTCCATGAAAGCAATCACTTCAATCCTAAAAAGAAACGAAAGAAGCCAAAGGCAAACCTCTAAGAGAAAAAGGTAGGAGTCCCAAATGTGTTTCTGTTATTCAGAAAGGGGTAAGACAGAAATACTTTGGGAGTGATGGGGAAAGAAATCTCAAACTATGAAAAAATGCTTTAAAAACATTTAAAGCAGTACAAACTGCCATAGAGGTGAATTTCAATTGTTATTATCAACAGTTTCTAAGAAGAACTTTAAAGCATCAGAGAATTTGTACTTGAAGTGGAAAAAAAAAAAGGATGCTTTTGTCCCTGTGTGACATCTAATGCTAGACTTAGATAGGGCAGAGAGCAGCTTATTAAATTAAGCGGAGGGCCTCCCTGGTGGCACAGGTCGTTGAGCTCCACACTGTGAAGCTGTCTGCAGCCCCTGCAGTGCTGGTTCGATCCCTGCCCGGCCTCGGAGCAACCCACATGGTGAGGCAGACCTCTCCTGTCTTGCCCACTGTTCCCCTCAGCAGTGTGTTTCAATCAATCTGCCTGTTTTGTTCCCCTCTCTGTCTGGTGAATCCTCTCATCTCCCCCATCCCCCCGCACCTCTGGCCTGTACCCCAGCTCTTGTATGCATAAAAATAAAATAAATCTTTAAAAAAAAACAAAAAAACAAACAAGTAGGACTACATCAAACTAAAATGCTCTACACAGTGCAAAACCTGCCATTAAAAGGAAAAGCCTTCCTAACAAATGGGATACATATATCCAACAGATGGTTAATATCCAATATATATAAAGATCTCTCATGCAATTGCAACAACAAAACTAAACAATGAAAAATGGGGAAATGATCTAATTAGACACTTCTCCTAAGAAGTCATTAATAGTCAACAGTTACATAAAAAATGCTCAACCTATATATTATCACAGAAATGCAAATCATAACCACAATGAGATATCATTTCACACCTATATAACTGGTCTATATAAAATAGACCATGTTGCTGAAACATGTTATGAAAGTGTGTAGAAAAAGGAAACCCACACACTATTGGTAGAAATGTAAACTGGTGCCCTCTATGAAAAACAGTATGGAGTTTCCTCAAAAAATAAATTCATCTACCATGTGATCCAGCAATTCTACTTCTAGGTATCTACTCACAGAATGCAAAAATTGGAAGGGATATATGCCCACCGGTGTTCACCAGAGCACTATTTATAATAGTCATGTTACGGAAACAACTGAAGTGCTAATCATGATGGTTGGATACATACCACAGTAGTGGTGGAGGTATATATTCTGTACCCTTTGCATGGGGTTGGTATGTCTTAGATCCATAGTAACTACAGTCTCCCTGATCTATTGAATCCCTTCCTCTCAATTAAACCAAGGCTGCTGTCATTTCTAGTTTTCTCACTGTTGACCACCATTCTTTCAAGTGTTAGTTAACACCCACCCAACTAAATAAACAAGCAAATATTTAAAAGTCATATGTAGAAATAGCAAAATACTTTCATAACTCTGTGAGCTTACAGATAAAGTACAGAATACAACTCTGTGAGCACAGATCAGTGTATTCAGTCTCATCCAGCTTTATATTTGTTCCACCTTTATCTCATACTTTTAGCACTGATTTCTGCATAAATTCTTTCAATTTATGTGTTTATATATATAAAAAACTCAGGTAATCCTTTGAGTATAGCTCATTTTTTTCTTTTTCTTTTTTTTAAAGAATTTTATTTTATTTATTTCACACTAGAACTGGGGCACTGGCCAGAGGTGTGGGGCTTGAGAGGATTCACCGGAAATAGAGTAGGGAACAGAACTGGCAGATCGACCAAAATATACTGCTGAGGGGAGCAGCGGGTGAGTCAGGAGAGGTCTGCTGTCCCATGTGGGCAACTCCCCAGCAGAGGATTGATCTGTCCTGCAGTGGCCACGAACAGCCTCATAGGTTGCGTCCCAACCCTTGTGCCACCTGGGAGGCCCCTAGTTCATTTTTGTCTGAGGTCACATCTTTAAGGACATGGCAGGTCCTGAGTCTAGTTGTATGTGTGGAAACAAAGACATGGGTATTGGAAGTGTGTGGTGAGAAAACTCTTGCATGGTTGAGTGTTCCATTTGTGTTCTGATTCAACTAGAAGCAGAGAGTAAATTTGATTTTCAGCCCTCTCAGACCTGTGGTTATAGCAGATAAGGGTTTCCTTTAGGGTACACATAGAGGCTTTCAGGATATTTATGAGGAGTTAACATGGATCACCTTTATACATTCCCTCCAGCAGTGCACAGGAATTTCTCCATGTTCTTGTTAACACTTATTGTCATTATTTTTTAATTGTCTTGTCATATTAACTACATTCTTCATGGAGTGTAGCTTTATTTTTTAATAATGCCTTTTTCTGGATTTATAATTGTTGAGTATTTTGAGCTCATGGAATACATTGGGAAGAAGCTTCTTTCTTCTTTCTTCTTCTTTTCTGGTAGAGTTAGTGCAGTATTGCTCAAGTTTCTTCCTTTAATATTTAGTAGTATTCTCCAGCAAAACTATGAGGACTTGGAATCTTTTTTTTGGTTTGCTTTTGTGGAGATTATTTGAATTATAATATTGATATCTTTAGTAGACATAGGGCTAATCTAGGTGATCTATTTGTAAATAGCCTTTTTAGTTTGTGACTTTTAAATATTTAGACCATTTTGTCTAAGTCATCAAATTTGCATTGCTGTTTCCACCAAAATGTCGTTAAAAATATGAAAGATGGGCCTCCCCGGTGGTGCAGCAGGTTGAGCGCAGAGCTGTGAAGCTGTCTGCAGCCTCTGCAGCATAGGTTCGATTCCCGGCCAGCCAGGGAGAAATCCGCATGGCACAGCAGACCTCTCCTGTCTCGCCCACAGCTCCCCCTCAGCAGTGTATTTCAGTCAATCTGCCTGTTCTGCTCCCTGATCTGTCTCTGATGAATTCTCTCACCCTTCCCTGCCTCTGGCCTGTGCCCCAGTTCTTGTATAAATAAAAATAAATCTTTAAAAAAATATGAAAGGTGAAAACCCAGAAGTAAAGCCACACATATATGGACAACTAATCTCTGACAAAGGAGCAAAGAATATGCAATGGAACAAAGACAGTTTGTTTAATAAATGGTGCTGGGAAAAGTGGACCACCACATGCAAAAGAATGAAACTAGACCACTACCTTACACCATGCACAGAAACCAACTCAAAATGGATAAAAGAATTGAACATTATACCTGAAATTATAAAATATTTAGAAGAAAATATAGGCAAAACACTACAGGACATACATTTCACTAACATCTTTAAAGACACATCCCCCAAAGCAAAAAAAGTGAAGGAAAACATACACTATTTATACAGCAAAGGAGATATTAATCAAACAAAGAGATACCTTACTAATTGGGAGAGAATTTTTGCACCCAATACAACTGATAAGGGACTGATCACAAAGATCTAGAGAGCTCACACGACTCCACAAAAACAAGTAGACAATCTAGTAAAAAATGGGTAGAAAAGCTAAAAAGACGCTTCTCCAAAGAGGAAATGCAAATGGCTGACAGGCATATGAAAAAAATGTTCAGCATCAGTTATAATCAGGGAAATGCAAATCAAAACCACAATGAGATATCACCTTACACCAGTGAGAATGGCTCATATTAAAAACTTGGTAATGGCTCAAATTAAAAATTTGGTAATACAAATGTTGATGAGGATGTAGAGATAAAGGAACTCTCCTACACTGCTGGTGGCAATGCAAACTGGTCCAACCACTCTGGAAAGCTGTGTGGGGATTCCTTAAACTACTAAAAATGGGGCTACCATATGACCCAGCACTTCCAGTCCTAACAATTTACCTAAAGGACACAAAAACATTAATCCAAAAGGATACCTGCACCCCTATGTTTATTGCAGCACTGTTTACAATAGGTAAGATAAGGAAACAACCCAAATGCCCAAAAACAGATGACAGATCAAGAAGATGCAGTATAGGGCCTCCCCGGTGGCGCAGTGGTTGAGCGCTGGGTTGCAAAACTGTCCACAGCCTCTGCAGTGCCGGTTCGATCCCCGGCTGCTCCCCGGCCACCCCCCGGCCACTGGAGGAGGGTCCCGCATGGCGCACAGACCTCTCCTGCCACCCGCTGCTCCCCTCAGCAGTGTGCTTCGGTCCTTCTGCCTGCTCTGCTCCCCACTCTGGCTCTGGTGAATTCTCTCACCCTCCCACACTTCTGACTGTACCCAGTGCTTGTATAAATAAATAAAATAATTTAGTCATCTAAAAACAAAAAAGATATGGTATAGATACACAATGGAATGCTATTCAGCAATCAAAAAATATAAAATCATAATGTTCACAGCTACATGAATGGAACTAGAAGGGATTATGCTCAGTGAAATAAGCCAGAAGGTAAAAGAAAAATATCAGATGTTTTCACTTATAGGAGGAATATAGGGGAACCAAATAACAGATCATGAAAAAAAATAAAAAAACAAAATTAGCAGGCAACTAAAAATCAGAGACATTCTGCAGGGGAGGAGAAGGGGAATTATAAAAGAGGAGAGGGAAAAGCACAGGGGACTATGGTGATGGTTCACGGGTGAATTGATGGTGGGAATTTTATGGGCACTACACCTGAGAGGAGAAAGCAAACATGTACAAAATGAACAATGGTCTGATAAATGATATATGTGATACATTGTAATGATTCCTCCTTACCTTTAGAAGCTTGGTGAGAAAAATGCTAATAGTGGCAGTGACTGAAAAAGGCAAATCAAGGCCTAAATCTTTTGTTACTAAGGCAAAACTCTGACAAAAATGTTCCCAAATAATTTCATTTATTTATTTTTATTAAAGATTAGTGACAGTATACTATGAAGACCAGAGAGCCTGGAACCAGATGCCTTGGTTGCTAATCAAACTTCATAATAACAACAAACAAACAAGCAAACAGGCAAAAAAAAGGAAAGGGATGAACCCAAGGGACTATGGATACAGTTTACCAGTGATATGGTGGCAGGAGAACCACAGAGACAACAATAAGGTAAGAAAAAGTAATTAAAAAGTTTGATATTTAATATATCAATATGTTAGATATTTAACAAAAATTACTCATGGACATATTCTAGATAAGAAAAAAGCAAAATTCACCTTCATCACTTTCATTCCTATTCACACAAATGCCTATTTTCCAGTTAAAGCGTTTGTTTCCATTACTTCCATGTTAGTATAATCAACAATTTTAGACTCATGCTTTCTCCATGCCCAACTTTTTCCAATTAAAAAACAATAGCTCAAATAATATATAAGCCATATGTTACATAAAAAAAAAAATCGAGGGCCTCCCCTGATGGCGCGGCGTTTGAGTGCTGGACTGCGAAGTTGCCCGCAGCCTCTGCAGCTCCGGTTCGATCCCCACATGGCGCGCAGACCTCTCCTGCGGCCCATTGCTCCCCTCAGCAGTATATTTCCGTCGGTCTGATATTCTGTTCCCCACTCTGGCTCTGGTGAATTCTCTCACCCTCCCATGCTTCTGACTGTACCCAGTGCTTGTATAAATAAATAAATAAATCTTTAAAAAAATTGAGAACTAGTTTTTCTATTGGACCTTTGTTTTGAAATTTATTTCAAAATGTTATGGACTCTGCCTGCTTTATTATAAAGTTCACACTCAGTTATATCCATTGTGTTTCTTCCGTCTTTTACCTGTTATCCTGTGCCTCTCTTTCCCTCCTCTCCTCTTTCTCACATTTTATTTGCTTATTCCTTTATATTATTTTGGAAAAATTTTGGTTTCTACTGCTTAGCATTTTGTCACTCAATGTCATTTTCACTTTCTTTTATATTAAGAAAGTGAAACATGAATCCTATTTTAGTGGGACCTTAAAGGATACATAGAATTGATATAGAGAAGAACAATAGGAAGCATTATAAGAAGCCCTAAAAATACATATTTTAGGTACAAAGGTGTGTGAGTGTTAGGGAAAGAAAAGAGTTGGGATGAAAAAGATTATATAATCAACCAATTAAGAATAGCACTATATACTCAAAATCGAAAATTAAAAGAAAATACTCACAAAAGGAGAGGTGATATACCCATACTCTGAAAGTTACACTTTTTATATTTAATTGGCAGATACTATTATTAAAACATTCAAAGGTATATAGTTTGCTAGATATTCTAGAACTTATTATGTATTTTAATTATGATAGACCTCAAAGCTTATTAAAAATCCTATTAGAATTGCTAATAATTTATTTTCATTACTACTTGTCCAATTATTAGGTACATATATGTTTCAGTGAACCTGTTAATATTAATCAATGATAGATATAAGTCTGTACAGCTTTTAAAAAGCCCAAAGGCAACACATTACTCTAAATATATGCTAATCTTAGAATCAATTTTCCACTTGGATCCTAATATATAAAACTGTAGTTAAATACCAGCTAACAGATTCTGATCCTAGAGCCTAGTCTCCATAACAGGCTCCATCCGCTGATGAGGTTGGGGCTTCCACAGTCAGTGGCTTCACTCACTGTATCTTCAGAGGAAGAGGAGGAACCAACTGCAGCCTGCCCTTCACACTTTGCCCCTGGGTGACACACTGCTTTGAGAGCTTAGAGATCACACCGCTCACCCTCCAGAGCACACAATCAAGGTCAGTTTTCTTTCTTTATTTTACTTTATTAGTGAGATGCATACTACTTAGTAGCAATGATTAGTTTTATGTCAGTGTTCTTTGAAATATTTTGGAATTACGGAATCTGACGCTGAAGGCACAGATGTGCAGCAGTCCAGCAGTTTTCACACCTGTGATCTAGGAGACCTCTGTTCACAGTCTTGCCTAAAATAGCCTCTATGAGAAAATCTTGTCTGGAGAGCTTCTAGAACACTTTCCTAGTTATCTTCATTTATGTCAGAAACTGTCTGAAAGCAATCAGTTAGATTCTCACAAAGGAACAGAATAAGCCAAAGGCAAACCTACAAAAAAAGTGCTAATGAATCTCAAATGTGCTATTTTTGTTTAGAGGGGATAAGACAGTTTTGCTTTGGTAGTGATGGGGAAGGAATCTTGAACTATGGGAACATACTTTGAAACAGACCTTCCAGTGGTTGTAACTGCCATTGAGGTGGATTTCAATTGTCATTATTACACACTTCTAGAAGAATTTCAGTCTCTGAGGACTGGGGCCTTTAGGTATACAGATTAGTGTGGTTGATATAAGAAAAGAAAATCTGCTTTTGTTCCTGTATGACTTCTAGGATTAACTAGGACATAGAACTCTTCATTGAATTAAACATGTAATTGTTAAAGTGTGCTGTGACAGAGATGATTTTGACTTTGTGCTTTGAAATGACTATACTTAAGTCTACACATTATTTTAAGTGTCTTTTTCTCTGCCTTAACTCTTATTATTTAATGAGTAAGCCTTTTTCTCAGACAATTTAAAGGGACCACAAGAAAGAAGTAGAGTCAGCTAATATATGTCACCCAATATTTTTGCATTCATATAAACAGTAATTTATGAAGAAATCTGGGCCAAAATTTATGTACATTTTCAAACATCTTTTTTTGCCATACATATATAATGTAATATATATGTATGTTACCATACTTTTTTTTTTTAAAGATTTATTTATTTATACAAGCACTGGGTACAGTCAGAAGCGCGGGAGGGTGAGTGAATTCCCCAGAGTCAGAGTGTAGAGCAGAGCAGGCAGAAGGACCGAGGTACACTGCTGAGGGGAGCAGCAGGCAGCAGGAGAGGTCTGCGCGCCTTGTGGGACCCTCCCCCAGTGGCTGGCGGGGTGGGGGGGGTGGCCGGGGAACAGCCGGGGATTGAACCTGCACTGCAGAGGCTTCGGGCAGCTTCGCAGCCCAGCGCCCAACCGCTTCGCCAACAGGGGAGGCCCTATGGTACCATACTTTAAAAACAATTGGGGGTTTACTTTTATTTGATAAATAGAAAAAAGTTGTGAATCATGCCAGGTAGAATATGGATATTTCCCTATTATTTTTATATATTTAAATTTTTTTGTCAACTATTTTATACTCATGAATTTTTCCACGGCCATTTATTTTTTAGGCTTTCTGGTAACACAGTTAAAGCTCAGGTTTGGATTGATGTGTTGTCCATAATTTTACCATTTCAGTTCTCTATACTCTTACTGACACAGTGTGGAGTAATGAGATACAGTCAGCAGTGGAAGCTCTCTGTTAGGGAATGTTGAGTGTCAGTTGGTCATTGGTTCTCTTTCTCTGACGGTGTCTCTGAGACACAGTGTCTCTGAGGCCAGTCACACATCCTGGGCCTCCTCATCTCAGAGCAGAGAGCAAGGCCAGCAGAGCCAGCACATCCTCGCCCTGTTCCTGCCGAAGTCTGTCCTCCAGCTGGTGAGACCCCCAAGGCAAACATACAGGTATGATGAGCCAGTGAGGGTGTGTGATCCCAGCCCTGCTCTCAGGCTGCTGGGCAAGGAGGGATCAAATAGAATGTGCTCTAGGGAAGCTGTGTAGAAAGTTGGAAGCATTTTTGGTTGTTGCTGGAAAGTTTTGACCTTGGGATCTATGTTAATTTATATTGTATGTTAATTTTATTTGAGAGGTGAAGAGAGGTAGAGAGGCGAATGGATCAGAATGAGAATGGATCAGAATATTTACTATGCAGAAATTGATTTTTTTAATTCTTAGATTTTTTTGGAATATTAACTCTATTTTAGACAATATAAATCTGTATTTTTTTTTCTTGTGTCTATGGTGCTGCACCTATTGGTTATCCATAAAATACCATCATCCTAAAGTTAAGTGTAATAGGAAAGTTTGAATATTTTGATAATATGTCTACCTTTGTATCAAAACAAATCCAGCTTTATATTAACAAATTTATTTCCTTGTATTAGGCATGTAGATATTCAATTAAAAAACTAAATAGCAGCCAGTTAGCTGGGAAAATATAAGACTTTAACACTGTTGTGTAGAGAATACTTATTAAAAAAAATGTGAGTTTAGAGCCTCCCTGTTAGTGCAAGAGGTTAAGTCTGCACTATGAAGCTATCAGCAACCATTGCAGCATGAGTTCGATTCCGGCCAGGGACCTGACCCACATGGGGCAGCAGACCTCTCCTATCTTGCCCAATGCTCCCCTCAGCAGTGTATTTTAGTCAATCTCTCTGTTCTGCTCCCCACTCTGTCTCAGTGAATCCTCTCACCTCCTGCCTCTGTGGCCTACACTGCAGCTCTTATATGCATAAATAAATAAAAGAAATCTTAAAAAAAAAGGGAGTATATTTTTACTTTTTAACATTATTTAATGGTTGTTAAAATCAGTTTTCCTCAATTTACAAAGCAATTAAATGTGCATTATAAATATATTTTAAGAAAACCCAAGTTTTAGTTCTATTTAAGTATAATAGTTATCTGAACCATTCTACAAAGTTACCAAAAATATTATTTTGGAAATTTTTGTTTAATCTCTGGTCACTATTTACTATATTTCTAGGGGAGAGAGTTTATTCTGTTTTTTTTTTTTTTTGTGAAATTGTTATTTTTATAAGACTAGTGTGGGTGATGATCATATTTTTTGTAAAATGTAAATAAAATTAAAAATATATTTGAACTGAATATACTTATATATTGCATATGCATATATTTTCTTTAATATTTTTAATCTATATACATATAATGTATGTCTATTTCTGAGATTCCCAGATAAAGTTACTTTAACTCATTTATTTCAGATGATCATGCTTTCATTCACTTAGTTCTCTATATTACTTCAGGTGAATGTTTTCCATTTTCAAAATGTCATTAATTGTGCCTTAAGAAACATTTAGTAAATCTTCCTGTGCTTTTTTTACAGAAACCCTCAGGAATGAGTGAGGAGAGATCATCACATGTGAAGCTGAAATGGCCAAATTCAAAAAACCAGAAGGCCATAAGATATCCAATTCAGGAAAAGAGAGGTATGGAGTTTTCCCGATTTCTGGAAATACAATATCAAATCAGAAAAGATGAAATCATGGTAATTGTGGCTAAACATATTTGATATTATATATCTGGTTTGTTATATTGAGAGTTATATTTAAGTGTAATATTTGATGCGATTTGTGATCACAGGAAATACTAATATTAATTTTAACCTGAAAAATAAATTTCCACCCTGTTTTAGTTCTGAGGGCTTTGCTCTGCCTGGTGCTTGCTAATTTTTTGACTTTGATTTTTACAGAATTTCCATCTTATAGCGTTGCAGTAAGGCTGGGAATTTTATGTTTTTTACTCCTGCTGAAAAGCGTGGGCTTAGGATATATGTGTGAGTATCAGGTACACACATTTCTTGTGGGTGCCATGAGCCAGTATGAAAAATGAGGTATTTTAACTATGATCCTCTGCTGAACCTTTGTAAGCTGTAATAGTCTGTAAAAACATTAGTTGTTATTATGGTGTGATTGTTAACATTACAGTGATGATTTTATTAATTGTTGTTAAATAATATTTGCCACACAAATGGCATAACAGCTGTAATAGTAGTAAAACAAGTTGTTAATATGTTCAGTACAGTTTACATAATTTCTATGTGTGTGTGTATATATATATATATCCATACATATATATAGAAAATAGGTTTTCTAATTTTAACAGTATTCCATTTTTAGTTTTTTAAAATAAATTTATTTATTTGCAGTAATAGTAGGATTCCCCAGTCCCTTATCACCACGGTAGTGCACCCACTACCAAGTAACTCATAGTCCACTAATGGATGGAACTGGAAGGGATAATACTAAGTGAAATAAGTCAGAAGGAGAAAGTTAAATACTAGATGGTGTCACTAATATGTGGAATATAGATAAACGATATGAAATATCATATAAATACAAGCTTAAAACTAACCCTTGAAGCTGACTATAGAACTAAAGCATCCAGGTGGGGAGGAGGAGAGTTAAGAACAGAGGGAAAGAAGTATTGAATTTATTTTTTTTCTAGGGTGAGTTTTTCCATATGACAAGAAATATTTGGATATTTATTTGGATATTACATACTTTATTATATATGCCGTAATATTGCTTAAATCAACAATGAAAATGATTGACTTATTTTCTATGAGGTTAAATGATTCCTTGAAATGATTATATGCAAGGGAAGTAAAGAGGGAAAGGTGAGGATTCAGAGAAAATAGGATAGTAGGACATCATAATTTCTAAAGAACAGCAGAAGATGAATCTAGTCTAGGCATAAGAGTTTCAGGTTTATTCTGTTGGAAGAAAAATTTTTTTGAGAGCGGTAAATGATGAGCTGTATATTTATAGGAGGAGAGCAGATAGGTCAGGGTCACTCGTGCTTGATGTTGACTAATTCTGGGTGAAGTAACAGGTGAGGGCATCTTCTGAGAGGGAATCAAGGAGATGCAGTAGTTTTGGAAAATAATAAACATTTGAAATAGTTGTTCAGGCATCTTATTGCAGAATCTCTCAGGATCTTTTGTTTACTTCTGTTGATGACAGTCACGATGTTGGGGATCAGGGGTAAGTAGTTGACATACATCCTTAGCAATGACCAGTAATTGTACAGATATTAACCATGGTTCCCTGGAGATGCTCAGGGAATGTCCCAGGTGACTGTTGGTGATTTTGTCCCTGATATTGTCATTTTCATTTTACTTACCTCTGTGGTTATGACCAGAATCTCATTGTGTATAATACACGGTAACAATCCTTCTGACATGGAACTTAATTTTCTACCTTCTGAGTTTAGATGATATGTAAATATCAGGTCAACATTCTTTGAGAAAAGCATTTCAAAAGAAACATGGCTTTCCTTTGATTTTTTAAAGAAAGGTATGTAATAGGAAATGGTTCTGTAGAAAAGAGGGATTCTATACATGGATATTAGATGATTTTGAATTCAAATTTGTTTTTTTTTGAATTCTTTGACATCTCTAGTGGAAATCACTAGCATGTTACACTCAGATAAAATTGTGTATTTGGATCAATCCATCATTTTTCCTGTGGATATTCCTTTTACTGCACTAATAATCGTGCTATTTCTTTATGTCTCTTAGTGTGGATTTTGACTCAGAAAATATGTTGCTAAATGTTGATGAACTGATATTTACTTTGGCATGTGTTTGTAAATGCTGTGCTGTTAGAAACTATACCAAATGTAAGGTGCTTCCAGCAAAATTTTATTCAGATATCTTATTTTGTTAATCCTAACTTAAGTTGCTAATGGTGAGAAATTTAGTGTTTTTATTTTCTATGATTAATCTATTGAGGTGTTACTTTCTAAATGTCAAATTACTAATTGAAGTAATGAAATGGATTGGTTGTCAAAGTGAGAATTTTTTTCTTGCCTTCAATATGAACATTTTAGGAATATGAATACATTTTTGGCATTATATCTATGTTATCAATTTTAGTTTTTCAGTATATTCAAGAAAAACATCAATGGGAAGAAATTCGACGAAACCTAAGTCTAAAGTATGACCTCATGAAAAATGACAGCTACTTAAAGGAGCAACATTTGACAAATAAGACTTTAGAATATGAAATTCTGAAAATGAAACCCTTCATCAGAAAAAGAAATTGGAATTATGCTTTATAGAAAATAAGCTATGTCATGGAAAAAGGAATCTTTCAGAGTCTTTGCAAAATACAGGTATGAAGGAAATTTTGAATCAACGGTTATATAATTTTTCATTATTTCTTCCTTCTTTAGAATCTTTGAAGCCTAATATTGGCTTATAATATATGCTAGTGATCTTGGCTACAGGACAACTTTTAATATGTGCCTCTTTGATGTAACATGGATATTTGGGTTTGCTTGTTTAACATGTGAGACAGACCCTAGGGTCATGTTTGCATTAGTGGAGTTCTATGTTTTCCCCCCAAATCAGTGGTAGTTCTTGCAATCTTACTATTCCCATAAGGTGAATTAATATCAGCTTCCTTGAAAATATGGGTCATTTTGGATCATGGGCAAATTGGACACTTGCACTCCAATACTGGCATGAAATATTTAGGTGATCAGTAAAAATATACATAGGCTAGCATGGGCACTGCCCTTTTGCATGGACGCTGGTCTAAAGATCATTGTATCTATGTGTGTGAGACTTTTTCTTTTGTCTTAAATTTCAACTTTTAAGCTTTATGAGTACTTTTTAAAGTGGTATATCTATGCTGTTTCCATTCTGTTTTGATGTAAGATACTTGTCTGTTGTGATCACTATAGACTTGCTGCAGTACATATGCAAGGTCTGCTGCAGTACATCTGCAAGGTCTACTGTGATGATACCAATTAAAATATCCAAGAGATAAGAATACTAAATCTCATACAATAAAATCTGTTATCATGTATAACAATGGAATGACTTACCTGGTTCATTAACAACTGCAAGTATTTTCTTAGGATTCAGAGTTTACAAATATTTTTTTGCATATTCAGTATCATTTAGGTATTGGTATACATTTCTATTTTTTTCTATTATTAAAAAACACGGCATACCTGGGCCTCCCTGGTGGCACAAGGGGTTAAGACACAACCTATGAAGCTGTCCGCAGCCTCTGCAGCACAAGTTCGATCCCTGGCTGGCCAGGGAGCAACCCACATGGCACAGCAGACCTTTCCTGACTCACCCGCTGCTCCCCTCAGCAGTGTACTTCGGTCAATCTGCCTGTCTGCCTGTCTGCCTGTTCAGTTCCCCACTTTGTCTCTGGTGAATCCTTTTACCCCCTGCACCTCTGGCCTGTACCCCTGCTCTTATATGCATAAAAAAATGAATCTTTAAAAAAAAAAAGGCATACTATAAAAGATATCAGGAAAAAAAACTTCCAAAGGAGAATATTTTTTTTTTATTTAGACTGTATTCTGGAATTAAAAAAAATATTATTTTAAAAGCCACTTTATTGTAGTATTATATGAAAAAGCAACACATTTATTGTATACAATTTGATATTTGGACATAAGCATATATCCATAAAACCATCCATAGTTAGGCTAACAGACATAACCATCACCTGCAAAAGTTTCCTCAAGTCCTATTTTTGTTGTGGTAATTACACTTGACATGAGATCTACCCTTTCAATAAGTTTCTAAAGTGCACAATTCAATATCGTTAGCTATATAGCCTCTGTGTTATACTGCAGATCTCTAGAACATAATAATATGGTGTCACGTAATCTGTATAGCATTTGGACAACTGAATCCCTTCCCCTGGCAACCCTGGTAACCACCATTCTACTTTCTGTTTCATTGAGTGTGACTATTTTTCATATCTCATGTATGTGGAATCCTGCTGTATTAATCCTTCTGTGACTGGTTTATTTAACTAAATGTACTGTCTTCAAGGTTTATCTATGTCATGGCAGATGGCAGATTTCCTTCTTTTTAAGACTGAATAATACCCCATTATATATATCTATCACATCTTCTCTATTAGTTCATCTGTTGATAGATACTTGAATTTTTTCAATATCTTGGCTTTTGTGAATAATGTGACAGTGAAGATGGGGGTGCAGGTATCACTTAACATTCTAGATTCTTGATGTGAACCTTGTGTTATCATTATTGGTAGCTGTAAAGATTTTACTTAGTTATTCTGTTTAACAGGGTACCAGATGAGAAGTTGAATGTTTTGCCTTTTTATGTTGTAGGGCGCTGGTCTTGTTATGGAATTAGCTGTTACTATTTTACCAATGAGAGTAAAGTCTGGATAAAGTGTAAACAGACTTGTCAAAATTATGGATCATCTCTTTTGAAGATAGATGATGGTGATGAACTGGTATCATGACTATTATGTTCATTTTTATTCTATTAAACTCTCTACCATCTTTGGATTCAAGGTATTGAGGATCGAGGTGGGGGTGGAGGAGTCCAGAAAGAGGGACCTTCAATTATTTTTTGTATCATGTCTGTTGAGTGAATAAGACTTTAATAGTTAAGAGTCTCCCAGGAAATACCTACCTGTTAGTAGGAATATAATCTTGCTACTTCCTGACCATTCAAAACCTACTTATTTATCATGATGATCATTATTAGTTCAAAATGGAAATCTCCTTGAAGATACAGTTTGGTTCTTGTAATCATCTCCCTTTCTACGAAGTCTGTAGGAGAACCACTCACAGAGAAATATGACTTTCTTTTGGAAATACTTAATGCTTTGGTAAATTGCAGCCTGAAACCAGCATTCCTTCCTAGGGTGGCATCTCAGGACCCTGAGGCAACATAGTTTAGTAAATACTATTAGGAATCTAGGAATCAGACTGCCTGGGATCAAAGCAGTTTTGCCACTTATTAGCTGAGTGAACATGGATAAGTTATTTCTCTTTCTAGGCCTCAGTTTCCTCATCTGAAAAATGGAAATAATGATGGAACATAAAATCAATAACAGTTTTACCAACTGGCTAAATGGTGAATTCCATTGCATCTGTAGGTAACAATACATCATCAAAAATTTTATATGCTATATTAAGATACTACCTATCTTTTAAAACGAACTTTAAAAACTGAAAATACAGTGACAATATCAAAATTATTTTTATTACTTAAAAAAATACATATAACACACACGCAAACACAATGTGTTTTTACACAGAAATGGTTGCAAAACTCAGCCTGAAACATCTATTTATCAGTTAGGAAAACAACACAAAATTTATATGCAAATCTAATAGATGTTTTATATCACAACATAAAAGAATTTACATTGTTTTAATAAAACAGCGAAATCTAAACCTGTATTTTAAAATGCATTCCATCCTTTAATCAAACATTATGTAAAATGTCCTTTGACCTATTACATTTTAGTCATAGTAAGTTTTTCCAAATGCTACTACTTTTCTCTTCATCCCTTTCAGCTGCTGAACTGCAGCAAGACTTTCTCTAATGGGTGAAGACTCTATAGACTGTATACCTCCCTTTGTTATTTAAATTTGTTTTGAAGACTCCTTTTTTCACTTAAGAATATGTAATGATAATTTTTCTATGTGTTTAAATATTTTTCTGGAGCATGACTTTGAATGGTTTCCTAAAGTGTCAAATTATTTCACAGATCTATTGTTAGATACTTTAAATTTTTTTCATGTTTTAAATAATCTATATGGCGGGCAGTCATTTTTAACATGAATAAATGATCAAGGAGAATGCAGATGCAGGGGTTGAGGGGAAAAGGGTTTATAGGACAGGGGGATGAAGGAAGATGTGGCGAGTAGAAGAGGCTGGTCATAGAAACTGCTGGCCCCTTCCCCTGTGCTCTTCATTCATTTAACAGATGGGACTTTAGTCACGTATGCTTTGTTTCCTTTGTAGGCCTTTATTCGATCCCACATTTCTCCAGATACTTACTGGATTGGATTATCATATAATTCCCAGGAACATAAATGTAAATGGACTGACAATGACACATCTTCTGGATAGTAAGTCTCTGGAGTATTTTCAAACACTCACATTGGTGTTGGGGTTGGAAAGCTTGTATCTGAAAAGCCTCTTATTTAAAATAGCTTAACTCCTTTTGAAACATCTATTTATAGTTAGGAAAACAATACAAAATTTGTATGCAAAGCTAGTGTTTTATATCACAACATAAAAGAATTTATGTTATTGTAATAAAACAGTTAAACTGATATTTTAAAATACATTCCATTGTTTAATCAAACATTAGGAAGCACTATAATTAAGAAGGAAAAGAAGTATTATACAAAGTTGATAATATAAAATTGTGATGCTTAACCCATGCTCAGAAGTATGTTTTATGAAGTTCATAAAATGAAACAAAAATCATGATGTGAAGCAATTGGCTCATCTTGACTTTACTATAATAAACCACAAATGAGAATTTTGAACATTCTAAAAATTACTTTGCATAGTATATAATATTTTAAAGTATAAATACATGTGAGTCCACACACATGTACACACATATCTTCCTTCACTTTAGTCCTATTTTGAAGCATGGTATTTTGTAAACTCTTGGCTTACATTTATTATAATATGCTGTTAAACTAATGACTGCTTAAAAATTTTAACCATTATATTTCTATGAATTTTGTTTTGTATTTTCAAATATCTTTCCTAGTTAATCATATTTTGAGATGTCTTTTATTTCTATAAAACATTTTGTAATTGATATCTGATAATTTTATTATTTGAAGTTTTGTGGGTTTAATCTATTGTTTCTGCTGGCTTTTGTTCATGATGACATTTCTGTTATGGTGTTTAGTGATAGTTTTTTCTTTTTGATCTGGTGTTGAAATTGAGGACTGATGAGGGTGACTTCCTCAAGAATCTGCTTTTGCAGGATTCCTTAGGACAATTTATTTATTTATTTTTTAAAGATTTATTCATTTATGCATACAAGAGCTGGAGTACAGGCCAGAGATGCAGGGGATGAGAGGATCCACAGAGACAGAGTGGGGAACAGAACAGGCAGACTGACTGAAATACACTGCTGAGGGGAGCACTGCTGGCCAGGGAGCTAACCCACATGGTGTACAGACCTCTCTTGTCTCGCCCACTGCTCCCCTCAGCAGTGTATTTCAATCAGTCTGCCTGTTCTGCTCCCCACTCTGTCTCTGGTGAATCCTCTCATCTCCTGTATCTCTGGCCTGAACCCCAGCTCTTGTATGCATAAATAAATACATCTTTAAAAAATTGTTTTCTTTAGGAAATAATTCTGGCACCTAATCTACTACTTTGATGAAATGGAAGTACTGCTTTTAGATATTTTTCAATGGATTTTTTAATTTTAGTTAATAACTACTATTTTTAGGTGGGGAAGGAAAGGAAACAAAATACAAGTATCAATTAGGCAACCTCATTTTAGACTATATTACAATTCTGCTTTTTTCTATTAAGGTATATGCTCACAAACTAGTTCTCTGTCGTAGATATATAGTTTCTTTTCCTTTTTAAATCTCTCACTTTTTGTGAAAAAAAATACAAGAAAACACTTTATCTGTATCATGATCTCATAGCAATACTAAAATTAATTTTGCCTTTGACCAAAATTCCCAATGTAGAATAAAAGAGGAGAAAGTGAATTTGATCAAAAGGTTATGATTCTATTTAATGGACTAAGCACAAAAGAAAATCTTTATATTAATGTTATTAATATTAGCATTTCCATATTCCAGACTGTTAGGCAACAGACTTAAAAAATTAATTACAATTATAAGGTAAGCTTCAGAATTAAACAGTTGATGATGTATGTTTTCTATTCTACAGTCATTTTACAATATTGACTTCATCTTCTGGGATAGGAAAATGTGCATTTTTGACTTCAACAAGAATAGATGCTACTGAGTGCTCTAAAACCTACAATTGTGTCTGTGAGAAGATGATGATTTCTCTGCTTCAAGAAAGTACCACGAGAAAAAGGTGAAAATGGAATTTTGTCACTTTTTTGTTTCCCTGGTCTAGCTTGTGGTCACTTACCAGTGAATGTTTTTCACTGCAGGACTAAGTCCATTGTAGAAACAGATGGGCTGGAAGAGTAGGGAAATGCTCTTTGAAACTGTGATTTAAGAGCTTAGATGTTACCTGTCTTCTTGGGAAGAAGAAGACTTTGTCTTTGGAGAGCAGTCACCCTTCTCTTTCCCTGAACCATCCCCAACGCAATAACACTGATAAATAGCTTAGGTCTTTTTCTTATCGGTAGGATAAATTATGTTAATATCTTCTGACTCTTAGCACTAAAAAAAAAAAAAAAAAGTTATATTCCCCTTTTCCCATCTAAGTGTTTACCTCTCATCTTTTAAATCATGATTTTGCGTGGTATTAAACTTATTGAGTAGTTGATACAACAGTTTAAGGAACGTTCTGTCATGTCATCTTTACCTACACTTGCACTTTGTTTATATTTTTCTCTATACTATCCTCTTGCTGATCCATTCGATAATAAATTGGGACCATTATGTCCCTTTGTGTAAATAATTTACAAGAAGTAGGTGTTTGTCTTGCTTAAACAAGGTACAGCGATCAAAATCAAGACATTTAGGTTTTATCTGGTGCTGTGATATCACATACAGTCCACATTCAAATTTTGTCAGCTGTCACATGATGTCTTATAATTGTTTTCTCCACTTTTAGGATCATGCACTGCATTTATTTGTGATACCTGTTTAGTCTCCTTTAATTTGACCATAACATTTTAAAATTTGCCTTTATTGAATTATGCTTTGCATGCAATAAAATGCATCTTTTTAAGTCATGAAGTCATTTTTTTTTTTTAAAGACTTATTTATACAAGCACTGGGTACAGTCAGAAGCGCAGGAGGGTGAGTGAATTCACCAGAGCCAGAGCGTGGAGCAGAGCAGGCAGACTAAAGTATACTGCTAAGGGGAGCAGCAGGCGGCAGGAGAGATCTGCGCGCCATGTGGGACCTCTCCTCCGGGGAGCAGCCGGGGATTGAACCGGCGCTGCAGAGGCCTCGGAAGCTTCACAACCGAGCGTTCAACTGATGCGCCACTGGGGAGGCCCTGAAGTCAACTGGTTTTTAACAAATGTATTCACCTCTTAAACACCAGCACATAAAGGCTTAGGCTGTTTCGAAAACTTCCTTTCTGTCCTTCTCCACCCACCTGGACCCAGTTAGCCAGTGGTATTCTTTCTGTCTCTTTGAATGAGTTTTACCCATTCCAGGGTTTTATACCTCTTATACTTTTTGTTTCAGCTTCATTTTCTCAGCATAGTTTTGAAATTAATTCATGGTTTTTCATATCTCACTAATTCTTTTTGTTATTGAATAGTATTCTGTTGCTCAGGTATATTATGATTTGTCCATTTACCTTTAGATATTTGATATGTTTCCAGTTTTTGGCTGTTATAATAAACCTGCCATAAACATTTGTGTACACATATCTGTGTGGATGTGTGTTTTCATTTCTTTTTATTAAAAAGCTAAGAGCTTGATTGCTGACATCTATGGTAAGTGCCAATTTAACTTTATGAGAAACTTTTAGATTGTTTTCCAATCTGGTTGATTGCTGCACCTCCCCCTGCAGTGACCCTTAGGGCTAATGGCTTGCGCCACGGTCCCTAGGTCCGGCTGGGCAACCAGCGCGCAGGCGGAGAACAGCAAAACCCCCTGAAGATATACTTGCTGCACCTCCTCCTGCAGTGACCTCTAGGAATCCCTAGGTGCGGCTGGGCAACCAGCGCGCAGGAGGAGAACAGCAAAAAACCGCCTGAAGACATAGATAAGACGGAAGCCTGTTGAAAGATAACGACCACCAGAAGCCACTACAGGAATGCTGTCCGCTCGGAAACTTATCTCACCTTCTCTAGACCCACAAACTTTATTCTAATACAACTGTCTCTCTAAAATCTTTTCTCTTTCTCTGTTTAAAAGGTCATTGGTTTGCCGATTAAAAAAGAACATACGAAATCTAATAACTAGGCTGATTCAAATGAAACGTTACTAAACTCTGTGTATTAATTGAACTGCTAGCTTAATAATTTCTCCGTTGTATACTTAGCCTTGTTTGTATTAATCTAAATGATAAAAATATTACATTGTGAAAGTAAAATTCACCCGTGTTAATTATTAGTAATAGTGAGTAGTTAAAACAAAAAGTAATCATATAAAACAAAAAGAAAAATTAATAGCCTAACTACTTAGGAATGCGCCTGGGTCCAGATGTAAATCACTGCCCTGTCAATGATAAGCTAAACCTATAAGCAAGCTGATTTCTTCACTGATGTTCGCCATTCCTATGCTTTTAGAAAACATATATATACTGGTCACCAACTCAAATAAAATTACACTCAGATTTTCACTCTTGAAGTGTGTCTGTTTGTCATTTCTTTAACCGAATCCCTGACCACCCTGCACAGTCTCTCAACCCTGAGACGGCCTCATCGTCTACTGCTGTGCTGGTCCGCGGCAGTTGATCATTTTACTTTCCCAGTAAGAGCATATGAGTTTCAGTTGCTGCACCTTATTATTATTTTTAAAGATTTATTTATTTATTTATACAAGCACTGGGTACAGTCAGAAGCGCGGGAGGGTGAGAGAATTCACCAGAGCCAGAGCGGGGAACAGAACAGGCAGACTGACGAAATACACTGCTGAGGGGAGCAGTGGGCATGGCAAGAGAGGTCTGGGCACCATGTGGAACTCTCGCCGGCAGCCAGGGATTGAACTGGCACTGCAGAGGCTGCAGGCTCTACCGCTCAACCGCTGCACCACCAGGGGATGCCCAGCTGCACCTTATTGTTGGTACTTAATTTTCTCAATCTTTTTATTTTAGCCATTTTATTGACAGTGTCATATGATCTCATTTTAAATTTGCATTTCCCTGAAGACATGTGACATTGAGTATCTTTTCATTTGTTTTTTGAGCCATTTGTATATCTTCTTTTATGAAATGCCTGTTCAATCTTCTCTCTACTAATCTTTTGGGTTTTTCTGTTTTCTTATGGAGTTGAAATAGTTCTTTATATAACTTTGATATGAATATTTTATTGTTAATACATACACAAATACACCCCCCTCCGCCAGATAGTGTCTTCCAGTCTCTTTTGTGCCTTTTCATTTTTTTGTATTTTCATTTTCTTAGTAGTGTCTTTCAAAAAGCAAAATTTAGAATTTGCATGAAGCCAAATTTATCTTTTCTTTGGTGCTTTGCTTTTTATGGTATATCTAAGAAATCATTGCTTACATTAAAACTACAAAGATTTTCCCCTCTGTACTAGAAGTTATTATAATTTAAATTATATGTTCAGTATATAACCATTTCAAATTAATTTTTATGTATAATTTAAGAGTTGAGGCTTACTGTTATTCTGTAGCTATCTAGTTGTTTTGAATTATTTGTTGAAGAGAGTTTCCTTTCATCCACTGGATCATTTTGATGTCTTTGTAAAAGAAAATTAATTGGCCATATCTGTTTTTGGATTCTGTTTTGATCTCCGTATTGTGTCTATTCTTGGAGTGATTCCATATCGTCTCAGTTACTGTAATCCTTGGAATTATGTGTGTTAATACTTCAAGTTTGTTCTTTTTGAAAAGTAAATTGGACATTCTGGAATCTTGCATTTTCTCAATTATTTTTTCAAATATTCCTGGTGTTATTTCACCTGGAATTACATTGAACCTGTGGATTAATTTGGGAAAATTCCTGTCTTAACGATACTGAGATCTTGAATTCATACACATGATTTATCTCTCTAGTTAGTTAGATCTTTAATTTCTCCCAACAATCTGATACATTTCATGATATAGGTCTTAGCCATATTTTGATAAATTTATGTTTTTATGCTACTATAAATGCCATAAAAGATTTTTCAAATTATTTGTTTACAGATGTGAAATTGAATTGTAAATTGACCTCATTCTATCACCTTGTTCAGTTTACTTATTTCCAGTAGGTTTTTTAGTATTTGTAGATTCCTTAGGATTGTTCCTTTTTATGTATATGTCCTGTGAGAATATAGAAAGTCTTCTTTCTTTCTGTCATTTTTCCTCTGCCTTTGTGGTACCGGCTAGGCCCAGTGATACAACATTGAGAAAAGTGATGATATCAAGCATCCCTGTCTTGCTTCCCGATCTTACAAAAAAATGTGTTTTACATGTAAGGTGAACTGTAGGTTATTTTTGTAGATCCTGTTTATCATGCTGAGGAAATTTCCTTCTCCTCTTGTCTATTGAGAGTTTTATCATGATTGAGAGTTTGATTATGTTATAAAATTTTTTTGTAGCTGTTGAGATCATTATATAGATTTCTTTTAGTGACTAATGTGGTGAATTGTGTTAATTGGCTTTTGAATGTTGAACAAAACTTTCATGTTACTTTGCCAATAATGGATAAATAGTTTAATTTGAGGGGGGCAAACCATAAATGTGAAATCAAAATATTATCATTTTGAAGAGGCCTTCCTCCTATTATCAGAAGAAAATGAAAATAACATGATAATGCATAAAAGCATAGCTGTCAGGAAAAGGCAAGCTGAGAAGCTGTGGCTTTGATGGGGAGATGTAGACCTCTTTCTTGTTTTGAGCCTTAAACCATCTTGTTTCAGAGCATAACACACCCTCCTCTGGATTCTGTAGCGCCAGATTTGAAGAACAGAATGTATAGCTACACGTTTTGAACTATTGTGGAGAGGTCCTACCTCCCTTTTCCCCATCTTTATCAGTGCTCCTCTACTTTGCAGAAATGACTAAGGATATATACACAGAGATGAAAGGTCATGACAATAGGAAGAGAATACAATCCAGAATTTCTGACAGGAAATAGGATTATGGTAAGCATCTATTTTTGCATATCAGAAAAATCTTAGTTTTAAACAGGATCTTTTATGTCCGACAAGCCAATGAATTTATAAATTTCTCTTTGTGCTTCCCTCTCAAGTGATTCTCTACCATGCTTGAACACAGCCTGGAAATGTGATTCTTTCCCCCAACTCC